GAGGGGGTGCTGTGTGTGTGTGGGTGTGTGGCCGGGGGGGGGGTGTGTGTGTGTGTGTGTATGTGTGTGGAGGGGGGCAGACACTCTTCCCACGTTCCCCTCCTCAGATCCAGTGACAACGGCCCACGCGACGATCCTGCTTCACTCTCAAGGAGGCTTCAGCATGACAAGGGAAACAGCCGTGGAGTTGGAAGGAAGTGGCCTCAGAGCCGCACTGCCTCCACGCAGGGGCACTGGCCCGAGAGCTGGTGCACAGGTGACACCTGCCCTGACTGCAGGCCAGGGCTGACATGAGCCTGGCACACACGACCCACCTGCAGACCACACACTCAGCGAGAGACCAGGGACTCCCAGGGAGGGCAGGCGAGGCGGTTCCATGAGCCCAGAGGTGAGCCCCTTGGCTCCTGGGTGGCTGGCTGCAGTCCGAGCCATCAGCACAGCCTGGGTGGGAGCCAGGTCAGGACCGCAAGCCGCTGAGCCTAACCACGGACACCCGCCACCCAGCACAGCTGCCCCAGATGTGGGGCGCCCACCCGGCAGCACCACACGGCCCCTGGAAGCTCTGCACTCGAGGCAGCCTGGCAGAGAGGGTGCCCGAGGGTACCTCTGTCCCTGCACTTCTCCGGGGTCAGGACAGAGACCCAGGTGACAGCCACCCGCTATCCTGAAGGAGGAGCCTGAGCCCACACAGTGGCCTGGGGTACTTTATTTCACTTGAATCTCAGGAGAACCATGAGTTAGCCACATGGAGGGGACAGAATTTTCTGAACTCCCACCACCCTTCAAACTGCACCAGAACTGAGCAGGGACGGCGGCACAGCCCGGCAAGGCGGGCGTCCGGGCCCGGGCGGGACAGCTGGTGCCAGGGTGTGGCAGAGCCGGGGCGCCCACAGACGCCCAGTGGGAAGGGATGCACGCCCTGCGGTGGGCACTGCTGGGAAGCCCTGCATAGGCCACCCGAGGGCTGCGGGCAGCGCAGGAGACCACTAGAGCAGGATGTGGTACTTGAGGGCCCGCGGGACCCGGTTGATGACCAGCCTCCCGTCGTAACTCAGGGATGCGAACAGCCAGGGGTCGGCCGAGGACCAGTCCACGGCGTACACGCTGTCCTCGTGCTCCTCGTAGGTCGCGATGACATTGTCTTGCAGGGGCTCCTTACTCCTGCAACCCAAGACAGACATGAGACGGTGCTGGGACGCCGCAGGAGGCGACGAGCAAGGGCCTCCCGCAGGCCCACGTCCGGCCCAGCCTCGGTTTTCTCATCTGTGCGATGGGATAGGCCCCACAGCAGCAAATGACCCGCCACTGCCCAGGAGGAAGGGATTTGCCGTGGCGCTTTGGAGTCGTCGTCAGCATTGGCCACGACCTCTGCGCTGAGCCGTGGGTCCCTGGGCGGTGTCCTACAGCATGTATGACCTCAAGTCAGGGGAATGTGCTGGGGTCATTAGCCCGAGTCTAAGCAGACACGACTGAAGCTCCTGCTCCTCAAGGGCACAGCCCTGGGAGGAGCCGGGCAGCCCAGCCCTCGGTGTGCAGGCCAGGCCAGGCTGGGTGGAGGGCACCTTGTCCATGGGGACGGCCTGCCCACGCCCCAGAAGATGGGACCCTCAGTTCTACCTCCTCCTGTGAGCCTGCCAGTGGCACTCATGGTGGACGGCAGGTGCTCACAGCCCACGGCACGCCAGCGTGGGGAGGTGGCCTGGGCGGCTCTGCTGCTGAGCCGCGCTCGTGCCTCCCGTCCCATGGCCACCAAGCCCCGCTCGGTCCTGACCAAAGGAAGGCCAGTTTTCTTCCCACCAGAGAGGAGAGCGGTGAGCAGCCCCCAGGCTCCCTGGGCCCCATCCACATGGCACGCCCGGCCTGGGGGCTGCAGGATCGAAGCCACCTGCACTGCGTAAGTACTTCTCTCAGGTCAGCTGTGTTTCCCAGCGTTCGAAAGGACAAACGGTAGAACCGAGAGACAAGTGGGTGGCCCCGAAGAGCAGCCATTAAGCACTGCACAGAGGAAGCCGGATCCCACATGGCCGGCCAGGGCTCAAGCCCCAGGGCTGGAGCATGAAAACACACCAGCATGCACACTCATGGATGGAGGACGGGGGCTGGAGCAAGGGCTGTGGGTGCTGAGGCCCTGCCGAGAGCCTCCTCTCGCTCACGTGCACGCTCTCAGGCGTGGAAAAAAGCAAACACAAACAAGATCCCTGACAGGCATAAGGACAGTGAGACGATGACTGCCGTAGTGGGGAGGCTTCTGATTGGAGCGGCATAAGTAAAGGTGTGAGGGGAGCGCACTCGTGCACCCACGTTTACACGGAGAGGAGGAGGACCCATGGGCACATTCCGCCATCTGGAGGGCTCCCACAGTGACCAGCCAGAGCCCAGGCCGGAAGAGGAATCCCCATGACAGGACAGAAGCTATGGCTGGGTGTTCCCAGCGTCCCACTGCCCAGGTTTCACTCCGTCCCCTCCTCCTCTGGAGCGGCGATGTGACCCTCTGAACCACGCTCGGTCACCGTGACCTCCACCCCAGCACCCAGGACGCCCCGCACGCGTCATGCTGCTCCCTGTGGATGCCTGTGGCCATGCGGCTCCGTGAGACAGACGAGGGCCCTGCTGACACCTTCGATGGCTGGGATCCCGTGGGGCCCTCAGAGCCCCTCATACCACAGAGGACATGGGCCCAAGCGTGAAGAGAAGAGGGTTCAGCCCTGAGTCATGCCCCGGCCTGGAAACCCACATGCACAGCACGTGCAGACGGGAGCTGTGACCCGACCAACAGGCGCTCCAGCACGGTCTGCAGCGTCCAGGCTAGGCAGGGCCTGGTTGGGGACCAAGCAGCTCTGCCTGGAGCCCCAGCCCCACTGCTGGCCAGAGAGGGCCCGTGCCAAGGGCTGTCCTCAGAAGCACCCGCCCTCCGCCCAGGGCAGCGAGGACGCTGGTGGGCAGATGCCTCTCCCTGGGAGCAGCTCCTGGGAGGCAGGCTCATGCTGAGACAATGGGAAGAGAGACACAGGGAGACATGCTGTCTTGACCCGCACTGGAGGCCATGCGGCCCGACTCCGTGTGCGGCCGTACTCCGCGGGCCATCCTGGGTGCGAACCACCTCCCAAACCGCAAGCTCCAGCTGCGCGGAGGCAGGGCTGTCACCTCGCCCGCCACCTGGATGCTTCCCAAGTAAACCTGGGCTGGGGTCACCCCAGGGAGAGCGCCACTCAGGCAGGGGAGCCGCCGCCGGCAGGCTGTGGCCTACCTGTCCTCAGCAGGGTGCTCCTCCTGGTCGCTGATGTCATCATCGTCCGCCAGGTGGCCAAAGGGCTCCGAGGAGATGGACACCATGTTGGAGAGGATGACCCTGCTGTCGCTGCTACCGGTGAGGACCAGCTGGTCGTGAGAGTGGTTGTAGCGGACGCTCCACACCCTGCAGGGACGGGGCATCTGCTCGCATGGTGCCTCACCCCCTCCGGGCCGCAAGGGCCTCCCAGGCGGGTTGGCATCAAGTGCTAGCAGGACCCGACACCCGACCCCACAGCTGGCCTCAGGTGGGAGCCGGAACACCCACTCCTCTGTCCAGAACGTTCTCTCAGCCCTGACAGTCTACACGGACTACATGACAGCTCTCCCTGCAGAGGAAGGAGGCAGCTTACTGCCCAGCGGCCCGGAAAGCTTTCCAAAACGGGCCAGAAATGGCCCCAGCAGCAACACACGGCTTAGCGCTGACCTGAGGGCCAACGGGCCCCGACGGCCTCCCCAGAGCTGCCTTGGCCCTCAGCCAGGAGCACTGCAGGCCCGGGGAACAAGGACCTGTCCTGGCTGTGGGCTGCCGGGACCCATGCCCTGCAGCTTGGCTGTCATCTGCCTCCTGGTCGTGCATAGGCCACGGCTGGCTGCAGGGCCAGGGCACGGAGGAGCGGCCAACCACTCATACGGGGGGCCACAGTGGGGCATTCCACCCAGGTGACCGTCGGATGTGAGCGGAACTCGCCGAAGGCACCGAACCCCACCCAGGGCTCGGGGGACAGGCGTGTTCTGAACGCTGGGGTAACACAGCTCCTGACACGAATTCAAACAACTCTGGCGTGAGATGGGGCCGTGGAAGCACGAGGTCCGCCAGGTGCCCGTCCTCACTGGGTGCGGATTCCTGATGATGTCTGCTCTTACCCTTCCAGACCTCCCCTCTGCTACCTGCGTGTATGCACACACACACACACCCATGTGCATGCACACGTGCGCCCACACATATGACACACGTGCTCTCACACTGGTTTAATACACATGCATCACACCATACTATCCTCCAGCTTGACCTCGGTACTTTCTCAGGAAAAAGCTCCAGCGTGTGGCAAACGCCCCTACCATTTTGGGCAGAATGAGCGATCTCGGGCTCTCCCCACGTCTGCCCCTCACCGTGACGGCTGCACGACCCTCTGCGTGCCGTCACCTCATTCACTGAGCCAAGCCCCTACTGATGGGCTCTGGGCGGTCTCCAGTCCTCTGGCCTCGCGAACATCTGTGCACATTTATTTTTGCATACTTGAACTGTCACTGTTTCAAGACAAAACAGAATCTAATGTTTTTCTTCTTCTCCAACATTTATAAATCACAAACATTCAGATTTGGAATTAGTGTTTCTTAGGAGAACGAGACGGGCTGATTGAATGAGTCACAGCAGCACAAACTACGTGGCTTGCTCCTCTCCAAATGGTAATTGGCACAATGCCCGCATAGCCCCACTCCCCAGGGTGGCGCGAGGGGCCCACCAGTGCGAGTGCTCCTCCAGGGTCTTCACGGGCTCGCTGACGTTGCGGGTGTCCCAGAACTTCACCTTGCAGTCGTCGCCGCAGCTCGCCAGGTAGTACTGCTTGTTGGGGTTGAAGTCCAGGTCCCGCACCAGCTGGCCGTGCGCATTCTCTATGCAGTATACCTGGCTGGGGAGACACACGGCACGCAGAGTGCGCCACGGAAGCCTCGAGCCCTGCACCAGGCTCAGCCCACCCACGTGGCCCTCCAGGGGGCGGGCGTCCTACGGCCCCAGCCGAGCCCAGTCCCTCCACCTGCCCCTGCTGAAGGGCTGGGCACCGGGGTCAGCGCAGTCAGCAACAGCAGTGTGCGCCATGACAGTTTGCAGGAGCGGCTCCGGGAGCCTCAGCTGGGTCGGGGCTGTTGGAGATGTGACATGGTGTACCCTGAGGACCAGAACATGCCAAAGAGACTGATGCCACGAGGAGGGGGCACAGACATCTGGACAGGACAACTGCCAGATGTCTGGAAGGATACAGTGGGGAAAAAGGAAAAAAAAAAACAAAAAGC